ATTTGCATTTCCCTGATGACTAAGGATGTTGAGCATTTTCTTAAGTGTCTTCCTACCATTTGAGATTGTTCTGCTGAAAATTCTGTTTAGATCTGTACCACATTTTTAAATTGGATTATTTGATAGTTTGATGTCTAATTTCTTGGGTTCTTTGTATAATTTGGAGATCAGCCCTCTGTCAAATGTGGGTTGGTGAAGATCTTTTCCCAGTCTGTAGGAAGCTGTTTTGTCTTGTCGACTGTCTGTGTTCTTTGCTTTACAGAAGCTTCTCAGTTTCAGGAGGTCCCATTTATTAATCGTTGCTCTCAGTGTCTGTGCTACTGGAGTTCTATTTAGGAAGTGGTCTAAAGACCCTGCGGTACCACTCTTGGGCATGTAACCAAAGAAGGCACATTCACACCACAAGGACATTTGCTCAACTATGTTCATAGCAGCATTATTCTAATAGCCAGAACATGGAAACAACCTAGATGCCCCTCAACTGAAGAATGGATAAAGAAAATGTGGTGCATTTACACAATGGAGTAATACTCAGTGGTAAGAAACAGTGACATCCTAAAATTCACAGGCAAATGGACAGAACTGGAAAAAAAAAAAATCCTGAGTGAGGCAACCCAAAACCAGAAAGACAAATATAGTATGTACTCACTCATAAGCGGATACCGGACATAAAACAAAAGATACCTACCCTACAGTCTACCACCCCAGAGTAGCTAAAACCCTCTTCCAGAAACAGATGGAAGCAGATGCAGAAACCCACAACTAACCATGGTGTGGTTGGGACAATATACGAGGCCACGGGCAGTGGGTCCAAGATTCTTTATAGAGAGATACCTCGCTCAACCTTGACACAGGGGTGTGGGGGTGGAGAGGTGCCTTGGTCCTGCCTCAATGAGATGATGGGATAGACTTACCCTCTTCATGGAGCAGGTGGGGAGTGTGGAGGCAGTGGAGGGATCAGGAGGAGAGAAGGGAGGGGGAACTGAAATTGGAATGTAAAAAATAAAAAATAAAAAAGTGGAGCAGGGACACAGGGTCTTACTTTGTCACCCTGGCTGGCCTAGAACTCACAGAGACCCACCTGTTCTTCATGTAACTGGGTTTTGCAACATGGTATAACAACACTAAAAAAAGAGAAAAGAACCAACAGACTGGGTATAGGGACACAGACCTGCAATCTAGCACTAACGGACAGAAGCAGGAACATTGGAGTTTAAAGCCAGCCTGGATTACATGAGACCCTGTATCAAAAAGAAATGGCAGAGCAGGGCATTGGAGTGGGGGGGGGGGGAGATGGCCCAGCAGTTAAGAACACTGGATACTGGATGCTCTTCCAGAGACCCAGGCTGGGTTTCCTAGCACTCTCATAGTGGCTCAGAACCATCTGTAACTCCAGTTCTGGGGGATCTGACACCCTCTTCTGGCCTCCTCAGGTGCTGTACAAGCACAGTGGACATACACATAAAGATAGAGCCCTGCCATCAGCTCTGAAGGTAGGATACCTGGCTTAGCAGTGGACTCCCAGCAGCTTACTGCACGGATAAGACTCTGACCTAGATTGTGATGGGAATAGTTCTCCTTTCTTTTTTGTTTTCTCTTTGTTTTTCAGGAACTTGGAAGCCACTCACCCTGGTTGAAACCACCAGTCCTCCCCCTGGACCTGTGCAAGTGTCTGGTAGATGACATTTGAATTTGGACCAAACTCCACAAAACAGGAAAGCTTGGGAATTTTCTAAGCAGGTATCTTGTGAGCCAGGAAATCTGATCACCCCTGTGCAGTACACAAGTCATTTCACGTCTTTTCCCCCCAGTTGCTTTCCCTACAGGTGAAGTCATCCTATCTTTGGAAGGCAGGTTTGAGAGTGGGGGACTCTGTCTCATATTTGGATGCCCCATGAATAAGCATTTTCTTTTCCCAAAACTCATAATTTCAGTGCTCGGCCTAACACACAGTGAACAAAGTAGGCCTGACTCGGTAACAATATGATCAGATAGAGAAGGGAAGGGACAGCAAAGTGGCCTGTGAACACAGTCCCAGTCAGTATTTGGGAGGCAGAGAACAGAGAATCAGGTTCAAGGTCTTCCAGGACATAATGAATTCAAGGCAGCATGGGCTACAGGAAACTTATTTTCAAAGCAAAAATCTCACTAAAAACAAATAACTTACTTTTTAAGACGTTATTTATAATACAAATAATAACAATCCAGAGACAGATATTGGGGCACAAGCTGAGGATCAGAAAAGCAAAGCAGCCAAGCCACTAGAGAGCTCTTAGGCTGGGGAAATCTGTCCTCAACGTGGCTGGAGACTAATTCCCAAGACTGAATGCTGAATACTGAATGCCAGCTCCTTAGACCCTGCTCCTGTCTTATATACTCTCTCGTGCTGGGATTAAAGGCATAAGCTGTTTCTCTTTTAGACTGATTCATTCTCCTGTAGCCCTGGGTGACCTTGAACTCACAAAGCTCCATTTGCTTCTGTCTTCTGAGTCCTGGGATTAAAAGTGTGTGCCACCACTGCCTGGCCTCTAAGGCTGTAGCTAGCTTTGCATTCTGATCTCTAGGCAAGCTTTATTAGATCACAAACAATATATCAGCACAGTTATTTTCCATCCAAGAGTGGTGGTGCAAACCTGTAATCCTAGCATTTGGGAGGCAGAGGCAGGCAGATCTCTGTGACTTTGAGGCCAGCCTGGTCTACAGAACATGTTCCAGGACAGCCAGGACTATATAGAAAGACCCTGTCTCAAACCCCGCCCTCGTAAAAAATGAAAGAAGAGCACTCACTGCTCTTGCAGAGAAACTGAGTTAGATTCCCAGGACTCACATCCATCAAGAAACTTACAACAGGCTCAAAAAGCTAACTCCAGGCCCAGGGGATCAGATACCCTCTTTTGACCTCTGTGACTAACACACACACACACACACACACACACACAGAGAGAGAGAGAGAGAGAGAGAGAGAGAGAGAGAGAGAGAGAGAGAGAGAGTTTGTTTTGTTGTTTTGTTTTTCGAGACAGGGTTTCTCTGTAAAGCTTTGGAGCTCTGTAGACCAGGCTGGACTCAAACTCAGAGATTCGCCTGCCTCTGCCTTCCGAGTACTGGGATTAAAGGCGTGTGCCACCAACACCCCCACACACAGTTTTTAAGTAAAGATGTTATTTTTAGGAACTGGAGAAATGGCTCAGCTGTTAAGATCACAAACTGCTCTTTCAGAGGACCTGAGTTCAGTTCCCAGGACGCACGTCCATGCACGTCAGGTGGTTATAGTCACCTTTGCCTGTCCACAGCTCCTGGGAATTGATGCTGCCTTCCGAATTCTGAGGGCAGTCACCTCTCATATGTGGCATACCTTCACACAGACACATAAATAGGTGAAATAAATCTGCGAGGCAGTGGTGCATGCTTTTAATACCAGTACTCAGGAAGTAAAGCAAGCAGATCTCAGTGAATTCTAGGCCAGATTGGTCTACAGAGTGAGTTCCAGGACAACCAGTGCTACACAAAGAAACCCTGTCTCAAAAAAACAAACAAACAAATAAAAAAACCAAAAACAAAAGCCCAAAACAAACCAAAAAGCAAAACCAAAGAAAATTTGTAAAACTTAAAATAATTCTTACTAGATTTTATTTTTAATTGTTAGTTACAGGCAGTTGTAAGATGGGCCAAACTTTGGTCATCTGCAATAGTATAAGGTCTTAATGTAAGCATTGCCAAGGGCTTGGATGGACAGGGATGCTAAGTGTTACAGCTCAGATGGAAAAGTATTCTGGGGAAGCCAAGGACTACCACAGGTCACAGTAAGCATAGCAGTTTACAGCTCTGCTCCAGGGAAAGGCTTCCCCAGTGAAGTTGTTACATTTCAGCTCCAGTCTCCCAGAGTGTAACAACTCTGCTTCACTAAGGGGAAGTTGTTACTTATCGCCTCCCCTCCATTCTAGCAAGGAAAGTTTCACCCAAACCTCATTCAAGAAATGTATTGGGAGGAAAGAATCCAGGAGTGTGTCTGCCCTCTGCCAGGGAGAAAGGAGACACCCAGAGAGCCAGAAGCCGAACAGGCACAGGGTTTATATAGGGCTTCTTTAGGGGCAGAGTTTTTCCAGGGAGATTTCCAGGGTAGGGATTTCAATCCCTGAGCTCAGATTGGCTAGATCTCTTGCTCAGGGATTGTTTGATTTTTCTGCTCAGGTCAGATTTTGCTGTTTTCAGGGGGGAAGGTGTGTTTCTTTTACTGGTCTTTTGTTTTTGCTTTTGTTTTTTTGTTTTTTTTTTTTTTTTTGTTTTGTTTTGTTTTTATTTTTGTTTTTTCCTTTTGAATCTAATTTTAGGGCCAGGTTATATTTCTTTCACTGGCTCTGATTCTAGGGACAAAGTGGTATGTTTCTTTGGCACTGGTTTCAGGGTCAGGGTGAGTTTCTTTGGCTCTGGTTGCAGGACTGAAGTGTGTTTCTTTGGATCTGCTCAGGGTATGTTTCTTTGGCTGGCCCCTTTCCCTTACATTTTATTGCCAAAGTTTAGCAGCTAAACCACCATAGTCCTGTGTTTTCCTTTTTGATACAAGGTTTATCTATGTAGCCCTTGCTGTCCTGGAACTCTGTATGCAAACCAGACTGGCCTCGAACCCACATAAATCCACTTGCCTCTGCCTCTGGAGTTGTTGGAATGAAGGATTGCGCCACTACGCCCGCATACATTCCCACATTTTTAATCAGGACGTTTATCTTTTCTTTTTCCCCCGGATTATTTTCGTACGGATGCACTCCCCCACGCAGAGTCATCAGCTCAGCAAGCCATTAAATGCCACAACTCCAAGCCCCCAGCCTACACAGGTGGGAAAGCAGACAGAGAAGGAGGAAAGCGGTGGGGTGTGCGGCGCGCAGCCTCTTGGGACTTGTAGTCCGTGGCCTGCGAGGCGCGTGCTCTGCGGTGCTTGGGCTCCCCGGTTGCCATGGCTTCTCTGAGCTGAGGTGGGTGACGCAGCTTGACGCGGGCGGGCTTTGGCTGCGTCGCGCGCGGAAGGCGGAAGGCTTCACGCGGTGGGTCGAGCAGTCTACTGTGGGGACCAGGGCGCGCTGAGACCCAGGCGGCCTCTTCCCTTGGAGCACTGGCTGCGGACTCTTCTTCCCAAACCCCTTACGCGCGGTGAGGAGAGGAGAGGGGAGCGCTCGGCACCCAGTTCCCCGGGTGGAACTAACAAGCTTGACTGCTAGTGGCAAGCCCCAGGCCTCTCTTCCTGGAAGTGGCAGAATCAGAGTTAAAGTCTGAACCTGTCTGCAAGTCTCAAGACTGTTCTTTGGATTTTGTTTGTTTTAAAGCCGGGTGTCACTCTGTAAACCAGACTGGTCTAGAACTCCGATATCCGTCTGCCTCTGGCTCTTGGGTGTTGGGATTAAAGGCTAGATTTGGTTTTTGTTTTTTTGTTTTTGTTTTTTTCTCGAAACAACGTCACACTCCATTGTCCAGGTTGACCTGGAGCTCACGATGTAGTTCAGGCCAACTTGGAACTCAGGGTGCCCTACTGCCTCAGCCCTTTAGATTGAGAGTATTAGAGTATTACAAGTGTGCACCACCATGCTTGGCTAGATTACATATTAACAGGTCCCTGGCAGAAAGGACATGCATAAACGACAATTTACATTGGAATTATCTGGGGGAGCTTTTAAAGAATAATATAAAATGAGTACAGTGAGGCAGACCTCTAATCCAGGCACTGGAGAGGCAGAGGCAGGAGCATCTCGTTGAGTTCCAGGCCAGCCTGGTCTGCAAATCTGAGTTCCAGGAAGTCAGAACTATATAGAGAGATCCTATCTCAAAATAATTTAAAAATAGGATACCTTGCACAATGTGGTGGTACACACTTAACTCCAGCACTTGTGAGGGAGAAGCAGGTGGGTCTTTGTAAATTCCAGGCCATACTGGTTTACATATCAAATTCCAAGCAAGTTGTGGTGTCTACACCTTTAATCCCAGCACTTGGATAGAACTCTGAGTTCAAGGTCAGCCTAGTCTACAGAGTTAGTTCCAGAACAGCCAGAGCTTCACAGAGAAACCCTGTCTGGAAGAGTGGGGTGGGGTGGGGAGAGCAAACAACAGTACAAAACAAAAACTCTGGGCCTCTCCTGGTCAGCCAACTGAATCTAGATCTCTGGCATGTGTGGGATGTGGTGTGGAGGCCAGGACAGGTGGTGCCAGTGCAGAATAAGGCCTCTGGACCACTAGCGTGGAGTTAAGATAGCGTGAGTTACATCTATCTATGTTCTCCTGCCCACAGAGAGCAGCCAGCCAATGTGGAACGATGGCACTGAGCCACTCCGTGAAGGAGCGAACCATCTCTGAGAACAGTCTGGTCATCCTGTTGCAGGGCCTCCAGGGCCAGATAACCACCGTGGACCTTCGAGATGAGAGTTCGGCCCGAGGACGAATTGACAACGTTGATGCTTTCATGAACATCCGCCTGGCCAATGTCACCTATACCGACCGCTGGGGACATCAAGTTGAGCTGGATGACCTCTTTGTGACAGGTCGTAATGTACGGTATGTCCATATCCCAGATGATGTGAACATCACTGCCACCATCGAGCAGCAGCTGCAGATCATCCATCGTGTGCGTAACTTTGGTGGCAAGGGTCAAGGTCGACGAGAGTTTCCCTCCAAAAGGCTGTGAGGCCGTGTCCTCATTGAACTTCCAGCACCACCTCAGGGTCCTCCAGTGTTCTGAGCCAACTCCCTGCCGTCCTTCCCTACCAGTGACCTGGTATCTGAGAGACACTTGTCACAGCTGCCTTTCATAGGGTTCCACTTTGCAGACACATTCTGGGACCCAGAATTCCTTCTGTCTGTGGCCTTGGGGTAGGTGACAATCCCTCTTTTTTGATCATTTGCATCTGGAATCTCCATTTACGGACTGACCAGTGAGGATTACTGTGTTTGGAGTGAATCAGCTTTAACTCCCCACTTCTCTTGGCATTTGTTTTTCTCATAAAACCAAACTTGGATACATCTAAGTCTCTGCCTGATGCTGCCTGGTGTACACTGGGCCCCTTGTGGCTCCTGTGTAATAGCAGAGTGCAGGTTCCAAGCTGGGATGCACATCAAGATTGCCTAGAATGTGGTCCAAGCAGTAGGAGTTTAGGTTTCCCAGGTATCATGAAGAAATCTAGTAGGAATGCTCGTGTGCAGTTAGGTGCAAAGTGGCCTTTCCTTTGAGAGTCCTTGGAGAAGAGGCTGTTGTAAGGAGCTGTTTCCTGAAGCTGAGAGTCTAGTATACATTGGGGTCCTCTCCTTAGGCTAGAGAGTTCAGCTAACAAAAAATCAGTCCCAGCCAGGCATAGTGGCTCACAGGTATAATCCTGGCTCTCAGGAGGCGAAGGCAGGAGGACCAGCCTGGGCTGGGTCAGAAAAGAAACAAAAGTAGGCCAATTGTGGTTGTGTTTACCAGTAGCATTTGCTGAAGAAGGCTGAGGCAGGAGGTTCACAGTTTGAAGCCAGCCAGGGCTACACATTTCAGCCAGGAGTGGTGGTGCACACCTTTAATCCCAGTACTCAGAGGCAGGCAGATCTCAGCGACTTTGAGGTCGGCCTGACCTGTAGAGTGAGTTCCAGGAGATTGAAGGCTACACAGAGAAACCTGGTCTTGAAAAACAAAACAAAAACAGTTCAAGAAGAAAGAAAATGGTCGAGGGAGTAAAAGAGACAGAAAGGGAGTGAAAACTGCCAGTGCAAAGATCTTGAGGTGGGGAAGCTTGGGGTGGACTGCAGTTCTGTGTCTGTCTAGGATGAGAAGGTCAGGTGGGCCGAGAAGTTAGGAGAAGTAAACTCCGTGAAGCTGTGTGAAAGACCTGGTTACAGTTTCAATTGAGAGGAGGCCTTGCTGGAGATTGAACCTAGGGTCTATGCTAAGCACAAAGACTTACAAGCTGGATACACCTCAACAAAGTAAAATTTGTTGCCTGGGCTTGATGGCACACAACTTTAATCCCAGCACTCGGGAGGCAGAGGCAGGCGGATCTCTGTGAGTTCAAGTCCAGCCTGGTCTACAGAGTTCCAGGACAATACAGAGAAAACAAACAACAAAAAAGTAGAATGTGTTTTCTTTAACTCACTCTACTTCTGTTTTGCCCACTTCAGAAACTTAATGATCAATCCCCTTATTTTCTCTATTTGGATCCTATGGTCTTCCCTTCATTTGGGGCCATCTAATTAGCATTCCATCCATTAAGGTTCTGTGGTTGATATCCACCTTCAAAGGTTGCTGCTCCCTGACCAGAAGAACCCTTCATCAGTCACTCCTGACTCAAATGTTAGGGTTATTTTATTTTTTGAGACAAGGTCTCACATGTAGCCCTGACCATCATGGAACTTAATGTGTAAACCAAGCTGACCTCATACTCAGAACTCCGCCTACCTCTGCCTCCTGAGTTTGGGGAATTAAAGACAAGCACCACATCCATGAGTGTTCTGCCTACATGTATGTACAGGTACTGTGTATGTATCTTGTGTCTTTGGAGATCAGAAGGCAGCATTGGCTACCCTGGAACTGGAGTTATGGATAGTTGTGATCCATTGTGTAGGCACTGGGAACTAATCTGGGTTCTGTGTGAGAGCAACTCACACAGAACTGCTGAGCTGTCTCCCAGCACAGACTTGTTTGTTGTGCTTTGTTTTGGAGACAGTTTGTAGCCTTCACTCTCCTGGAACTCAATCTACAGACCAGGCTGGCCTTGAACTCAGAGATCCATTTGGCTCCTTTCTTTTAAAGACAGTTTCTCTCTGTAGCCCTGGCTAGCCTGGAATTCATGTGGACCAGATTGGCCTCCAATTCACTGCTTCTACCCCTGCTTGTGAAGTGCTGGGATCAAAGGCAATCTCCACCACAGCAGCGTTAGATTATTGTTTGTTCATTTTTTGAGATAGTCTCAAGTGTCCTAACCTGGCCTTGAACTCCTCATCTTCCTGCTTCCACCTCCCAAGTGATGGTGTTGCAGGATCATACCATTGTATGCAGCTTAGGTGTCAGGTTCTTTTTTGCTCTCCTCAGGTTCTGTTAGGCCAGAGAAGTTCTTGGATCTTAGATCAGTTAGGTCAGATGCAGCCCACAGCTCCAGAGCTACATCTCTCTGGAGGGTCTTGTTGCCTCACAGAGGGAAATGAGCTCACTCCTGTCTCCTGGCAGCCCCTGAGTCCCAGCTGTGCTTTCTCTCTCTCTCTCTCCCTCTCTCTCTCTCTCTCTCTCTCTCTCTCACTCTCCCTTTCCTCTCTTCTCTCTCCTCTATCCCTCTCTCCCCCTCCCTCTCCTCTCTCTCCCCCGTCTCTCCTCTTTCTGCCTTTTCTATCTCTCTCTCCTCTCTCTCTCACGCACACACACATCGGTTTAAGGCTCCCACATCTTACCTTTTCCATGATCTTCTAAATTTGTTTCTATATAGAAATTTTTCCTTTCCTACTTGAAGGCTGGGCTTTTGGAATTCAGAAACTGAAACTAAAATAGTGTCTACATTCTGTTGTGTCTTCATTTCCCTGAGGTAACAAATGGAGAGTGGCCTAGCTGTGAACAAGAGGGACCCAGGAACACCGAGGAAAAGATTTCAGTGTGTTTCAAGATGGCATTGGGGTCTAGATTGCCATGGCATTTGCTCAAGCTTTCACATCCACCTTTCCTGCAACTAAAGTGGGGGCCCCATTGATGGTAGTGCCCCAAGAACTCTAAATGCCCAAGCAACATTGTTCATACCCATCTTTCATTCTTGGAGAGAATTCGGGGGAAGAAGGTACTGTTAGCAGGGAGGAGTCCACCGAAGCTCAGAAAGCTAATTGGGCATATAGCTTAGAAGCCCACTCAGCATGGCTGAGCAGGTGGGACTTAAAGCAATCTAGTGAGCTCTAGTCAGACAAGTCTGGCTAAAGGGCCAACAAAGGTAGCAAGGGCCCTTGAAGTTCTTTCTCATTAATGTTCCAGAAGGACCAGAGATCCAGTGCAGTGCTTGAAGACTGGTGAAAGCGATTTAGACTCTGCAAGGTGGTCCTGCTCTATAGCTGACTCTGGCCCTGTAAAGAAAGCAGCTAGGCATGGTGGCACATGCCTTTAATCCTAGTGCTCTGAGGCAGGTGGATTTTGAGTTCAAGGCCAGCCTGGTCTGCCTACACAATGAGTTCTAGTAAGATCCTGTCTCCCAAGTTGGGGTAGGGGGGTTGTTAACAAGGAATAGGATAAAATGACCTTCAGAGGTAAGGTCATATTTTTTTTTGGTGGGAGGTGGGGGTTGAGACAGGGTCCCTTTGTGGCTTTGGAGCCTGTCCTAGGACTAGCTCTTGTAGACCAGGCTGGTCTCTAACTCACAGAGATCCTCCTGCCTCTGCCTCCCAAGTGCTGGGATCAAAGGCATGCGCCACCACCACCCTGAAAGGTCAGTTCTTAAAAGTTTTTAAAGGTGGAAAGGCTAAAGAACCATGGACCCAAGAAGAAACAGTCCCAAAGAAGGAGGGAACTCTTCCCCAGCCCGTGGTCAAGTTAAATGCTGCACTGGGCTGTATAGTGGTGGTCAGAAGCAGTCACTGCCAATGTGCCCTGTGTTGGGAGCTTGCTGAGTTCCACAGGGACAGAGCTGCCATCACCCTGTGTATTAGCAGCCTCATCAGGTACATGTACAAAATGATGTGCTCCAAGTGAACAACAGAGTGGGAAATTGAAGTCAGGCCTGCGTAGTACCAGAGTCCATAAACTTTCTTGTTTGTTTTTAATACGTGGTCTCATGTAGCATAAGCTGTCTTTGAATTTATTGTGAGGCCAAGGATGCTTTCACCTCCTGAAACACTGGGATTGCATGCCAGGTTTACTGCAATACTAGAGGTGGGACTTGGAGCTTCATGCATACCAAGGCCAGCATTATAGCATCTGGGCTACATCTCAGCCATCATCTACCCTTGATAGACCACTATATCTGGTGGATGCAGGCCTGTAATCCAAGCTGCTGGGCAAATTGGGGCAGGTTACCAGTACAAGGCCAGCTAGTATTACTGACTGAATGGAGAGCCAGCCTGAGCAACTTATTGAGACTGTTTCAAAAACAAAAGCAGTGGAAATAAAGCCCATCGGTGAAGTATCTGCCTACATAGAAGAGGCCATAGGTTCAGTCCCAAGCGCCAAAACAGCAGAAACAAACACCAAACCTTGCCATACACAGGCCCTGGAATTTGGACACAGAGAAGTTAAAAAGCAGCCACTAAGGAGAGCTGGGGTTCTGAAGCATGAAGAAGCTTCTGGGGATGAGGTCTTCTGCCCTCCTTCTGTGATAGTCCAATCTGCCTATACCTTGTCAAGAAGCCATTTTGAGCTGTTGTGACAGGTGTCTCGGTATTACGGCAGCACCATCTGTCAGTGAGCCGGAGTTGGAGAGCCAGCAGGAGACTGTCACCATGCATGTATGTCCCAGAGAGCCTTGAGTTGGTGTCCTGATGACAGTTTTTTTTTTTTTTTAAATCTCTGGCTGGCAAGTTTAGTTTCTATTTCTTACCCTCTTTCCCCTCCTCTGCTTTGTGGGGAAAAAAAAAATCCTCTATTTTGAGTCAGCCAAGAGTCTACAGGGAGTGGGGATGGTGGTGTCAGCACCCAGTGATTGATCTTACTGATAATTAGAGATCTGGAAAACCCAAAACTCATTCCTGTCAGAGGAGTCAGGGCTTCCGGAGTCCTTAGTCTTTCCCCTTTGTCAGAGAGAGGAGCAAAGTGGGCCTGGCTCCGGGATGCATGCCTTTGGGTCATGCGCCTCACAGAGGTTCCCTAACTGAGATCAGTGGGCATTTATAGGGTGTGGTGAGCCGGATCTGAATCTCACTGGGCCTTCACAGAGATGGTGTGATGTGTTATATCTCCATTTGCACAGCCAGGATTTGCACTTGTTACCTAGCATGTAAGTGATACAACTACGATTCAAACTCTAGCCTTTTGGAATCCACCAAACTTTCGTCAAACCTCAGCCCAACCATAATTGGCTGAGTGTCATTGCAAAGGTTACGCCCCTCTCTGGGCACTAGCTCCGGCAACTGTAAGCAGGTCTCTAAAGTGCTTCACTTTGCATAAGAAATGACCTGGGGAGCTGCACTGATTACTATTGTCATTCAGCCTTATCTACAGTTCAGTAGCCACCAAGCATTCAAAGGGACTAAGAAAGGGATATTGGTTGGGACAGCTAGACTTCATTAAGACCAGCCTTCATGTCCCGGCAATACCTTGTTGAGATGACAAATGCATGCTTAACCCTGGCAGAGCATAGGCGGGGCCACGTGTTTATACTCGTGAATACAGAATGACCCGGAGAAGAGGAAAAAACAGAGAGGCATCAAGCACCTCTGTTAACGCCGCGACAAAGGAGTGGGACTATGGCCGCTGGTATCGCCACCGAGTCCTTCTGGCTACTTCTACATGGCAGTGGAGGGAAGCCAGGCTTTCCGAGGGCCCCCAGTGAGTCACCAGACTGATGCAATCCCTTTAAAGGGCTCATCTGCTGGTGCAAGAAGCTGATTCATGGAGGGCGTGGTTGCTGGAAAAGGAGAAAGGGACGGAAACTGCCAGGAGGGAGTGAGGTAGCTAGCCGGCTGAGATCGATCACTGGAACTCTTCACTGTAATCTCCCTGAACAAGACTCTAGGAATGTTCAGGGTGAACTTGGCCATCCTCGGGGTTTCTAAAGAGCGAGCCTAAAGTGAAATGAATTGTGGGCGTAGTGACAGCATTCCTGTCTTCTCTTGAACCCAACCTAAGCGCTTTATCGCACAGATCTTCAAAGGCCGAGAAATGGGGATCAAGAAAATGCCGCTTTTCTAATGAATGCAGTACAGTTGGCGATTCTTGCAGCTACTAGAGATGTTCCCAACCCCAGCCAAGCGAGCGTAGGGTCGGCAAGGTTCTGCAGAGCCAAAGGCTGGGAGGCGCCTCCGTTCCAGCCCCCATGGATGTAGATTAGTAGTAAGAACCGCCCCCTGGCTGTCCAATCGTTTTACAGATTTGGACCCAGATTTCACCTAGAACCAATCGGCGACCTTATCTGGGCCTCCTGCCTGAAGGCTTCCGCCCGTCCTCAAGATGGCGGCCCAAACCTAGAGTGAGGCGAGGGGGCGGGGGGAGGGGCCGCGGGACGATGCGTCACTTCCGTTGTCAGGTGGCGGCGCCGCAGCCATGGAAGGAGGCGGCGGCAGCAGAGGCTGCGGCTCTGGTGGCTGCGCTGGGAGGCAGCGGTGAGTGGCTCCCACGCCCCCGGCCCGGCCCCGGCCACCGGGACGGAGAGCCGAGCAGCCCCGGCTCCGGGCTGCGGACTATGGGCGAGAAGCGCTGAACCCCCGGGAAAGGTGAGTCCGGGGTCCCGGGACTCCGACCGAGCCGGGTGGGGGCTGAGTGCCGGCGGGGCGGGCCTCGGTGACCGTAGCGGAGGGACCCCGGTGACAGCTCGAAGCTGTTCAGAGCGACGAAAAAGGCCCTAGCGAATGCTCCCTCCGCCGTCGGGGGTCTGTCCTTCCCGGCGGCGGGGGCGGCGGCCGCCGGGAGCCTGGGTCTTCGCCGCAGCCCTGGGGAGTGGGCACTACCCGCCTTGCCCAGACCCTCTCAGACTGTCACTGACGCTCGGGGCCTTTGACCCGCGCTGAGTTTCCCCCTAAAGAGACCCTCTCCTCGCCATGCTTCTCTCCTGACCTAGAGAGTGACTTGAAAGTTAGGACGAGTCCCCAGGGAGAGCCAGCCAAGGCTTTCCTCCCTGAGCCCTCACCCGTTGGCACCGACACCATCGCTGCTGGGGAATTTTCACATCCTGGGCGGCGTTCAGGTGCGAGTCACAGCTACCTGCTTGCCAGATCCACGTTGGGCCGGTCTTCACCGTGGGAGAGAGCTTGCTGTGGTCAGTGTTTCACCTGCCGTCCTGCTCAGGCCCGCCCATTCCTACGCCGTCGGCTCCACCTTTCAACCTTGGATAGGAGCTTTCGGATTCCCGGTGGCTTCTCTGCGCTCCCCCCCCCCCCCAGGTTGTTGGCGGAAGGAAGAGATGACAGCCGCCTTCAGTGGCAGGATAGACTTTGCTCCGTTTTAAGTCACTGAAGGAAACCGGTTGGCTTTGCTAGTTTGAGAATCATTGAGGAAGAGGGTAGTCATGCTGGGCTGGGCACCTTTCCCTCTTGGCTGAGTAGTTTTGCATGAGATAAGGAAGAGCAAAATCGTAGGGCCCAAAGAGGCCCTATTTGTAAACAGTGCTGGGAGTTCCTCCTGCCCTCCTTAATGCCTCTGTTCTGCCAGTTGTTTGTAGATTAGACAGACCTGCCAGGGATGGTCTTCGCTCATTCATTCGTTCATTCATTCATTCGTTCGTTTGTTCATTCCTTCAGTCTTCACATAACAAAAGGGTCTTGCCTAAATCCATGCTCCCTAAATCCTGGAATCAAAGATGTGTGCCACCATGCCCCATTATTCCCTAAGTTCAAATTATGGTGCAGCAGCTTTCTGGTTGTGTGACCTTGGACCCTTTGTATCAGTGTCCTCATTTGGAAAACATCTGTAATGATAAAGAATTATTATGGAGAGTTAACAACACATAATAAAGGGATTCTTAACTGAACTAGCTCACTGTCTAGTTAAAGGAAACTGACCTGCAAGTGGATAGTTGAAATGTGATCTACAAAAGCAGCAGGAACTGAATGCTGAGGGGGCCCGGTAAGGGCAGCTGCTAGCTCAGTCTGGGATGTGGAAGCTGGAGTGGAGGGATGCCCTCAAGAGTGGACAGTGGTGATAGGAGTCAGGTCTAGAATGATAGGTGGGATGGGGGAGCGGATCTTAGCCAGGTAAGAATAAAGTGGAAGATGCTGTATGGAGAGAATTACAGAGAGACAGAGATAGGCAGGCAATTTGAGTTTATTTCAGAAACCTCAGCTTGTTCAGAATAGTGGTATGGAAGCTCACATAGTACAAAGTGATGCAAAATAAGTTGATGAGGATGTGAACATCTATCTTATTGATAGTTTGAGACTTCATGCCCAGTGCAATCAGAGGCTAGTAAAAAGCTTTTAGCTGAGGACTAGATCCATGTTTCAGACAGCGTTCTTCTCTGTGCAAGAGAGGCGAAGAGCTGGAGGGTGAAAGAGCTAGAGACCTTGTCAGAGACCACCTCACTTCTCTAAGAGGAGAGCTGGCATAGGCATAAAGGGTCTGTGTTGAGTAGGCACCATTGGCAGCCAGTGCTAGGTGGCTAACCCTTTGCAGTGTCTGGCACATGTGCCCTTTTCTTTCTGATATTTCAGGTTGCCTAAGGCTTCCCTCTCAGAAGGCCAGCTGTAAGGGGTGTTACATTCTCACTCTTGTGCCTTTAATGGATAAGGCAGTAGGTTGTAGAGGTTAAGAGCTTGCTTGGCTCAAGCAGATCTGGTTCTAATTCCAGCCCTGCTAGCCACTCGGGGCTACATAGTCTCTCTATGCCCAGATTTCTCATTGTAAAAAGAAACAGTAGGACTACCTCCCCAGAAGGACAGTGGGGAGGATTAAGATAGATGTTGCAGGGTTAGTTAGTGCTTGGCATGCACTGACTGGGTAGTAAATGCTTAGCAAACGGTAGTTTTCATTGCCTGCTGCTGGAGAGATCTGGGAACTACTTGAAGGCTGTTCACTGGAACTAGAGTTGTATCCCTTTGAGCTGTCAGGACTGTCCTGAGGGGTTATGAGAGCACTGCATTTTATTGTATTGTAGGGACTTGACCAGTCTGTATAGAAGCAATGCACATTCAGCTCTTTTATAAAACCTTTTTAAAAAGTAGAAGCAGGGCTAGGCATAGTAGCACTGGAAGGCAAAGGCAGGTGTGTGTCCCGCCTGTTGTACCTAGTGAGTTCTAAGACAGTTAAGGCTACATAAAGAGACCTTGTCTTCCCTGGCAGTGGTAACACACACCTTTGATCCCATCACTCTAGAGACAGGCAGGTAGATCTCTGTGAGTTCAAGGCCAGTCTGTTCTACAGAGCAGTTCAGGATAGCCAGAAATACACACAAACCCTGTCTGGAAAAACCAAGAGAGAGAGAGAGACTGAGACTCTGTCTTAACCCTACCCCAACCCCCAGAAAAGTAGAACTGCTGAGAAATAAAGTTGTTTTGTTTTGGCCTTTTGAGCAGGGTCTCTCTGTGTTGCCCAGGCTGGTTTCAAATTTGTGTTGATCCTCCTGCCTCCGCCTCACTTGTACTGGGATTACATACTTGCATCTCCAAGTTTGGCTGATAAACAGTAGTATGTTTGTTTTGGTTTTATTTTGTTTTTCAAGACAGGATTTCTCTGTGCATACTAGGCTGGAACTCACTCTTTAGACCAGGCTGGCCTCGAACTCAGAGATTCTCCTGTTTATGACTCCTGAGTGCTGAGATTAAAGGTGTGCGCCACCACTACCCAGTGATAAATAGCATTTTAAAGTATGAACTGGGGAAAATGTATGTTAAGTTCTCTGGAGTCCCCACTAATGAGCCTGGTCTGGCACCTGAGTTAGCATCTTCAGGACACATCACATTTGATGTATGTGTGGTGCATCAGGTATGTGTATGTGTACATACTTAGGTATATAGTGGTTCAAAGTAGAGTGTCTTTGCTGTACACTTGTGAATTCCCCCCATATGACTGTCATATGATGGGTACAGGGACAAGGAAGAGGCGAGAACAGACTCAGCTGTAGAGGAGGATGTGTCCAGTGGAGATAGACGCCCCGGATGCAGTGGCACTTGCATAGACAGGCATTGGGGAATCTTTCCCAGAAGTCTTTGCAGTATGAAGTACAAATCAAGGGAACAGAAGGAATGAGTTGTCTGGGGATGAGGACAGTGAGGAAAAGTTTGAGAGCCTTCAGAACTTTGAGGAGTGGATGGTTTTCTGGGGTTCTGTAAAGAACTTTCAGCAGTGGGAGCAGTATGACACAGGGGTGTGTGTGTGTGTGTGTGTGTGTGTGTGTGTAAGAGAGAGAGAGAGAGAGAGAGAGAGAGAGATTATATCATAGAATGCTGCAGGACATGCTGGAGAGGTAAGTAGGCACCCAGTGAGCATGCTCCAGCTTTGTTATTCTGTTGGTGCCTGCATGCTGGAGACACATTAAACCTTCATCTTCCAAAGAACCCTTTGGCTTCAGAAGAACGATGGACTAGGGAGAGTGAGTGCTGCAGTAATCACAGTAAGGCTAGTGGGGGCTTGGACCAGGGCAACTGAGAAGGGGGATTGCCATGAGTTCAAGTCCGGCTAAAGGGCAACAGTCTGAAGAAATAAAATAGTGTATAGGAAGGTGGGGAAAAAAAAGAATATGATCAAAATATATTATATAAATCTCTTAAAAATAAAATTTGAAAGTCTAAGGATGTTGGTAGAGTGTTGTTAGCTCTGTTAGTAGAGTGCTTGTTTGGCATACATGGAACCCCTAGTTCAGTCCCTAACAGTATATGAAAATGGTGTACTGGTGCATGCCAGTAATTCAGCACTGGGGAGGTAGAGGCAGGAGGCTTATAAGTTGATTATTGTCTGCTACATAGCAAATTTGAAGCCAGCCTGTGATACACTAGACCTGTCTAAAAAGTGGCCTGAAGCAAGAGCACCCCCCCCCACACCTGCTCAAGTAAGATTGTAGCTTCAAGGTGGCCCCCAGACTATCCTACACATCTTCCCAAGCCCTGGAATCAAGAGCTAAGGGGGAGAGGCTACTGTTACATTCGTGGTTGACTTGCTATTTTAGAGATGTTTCCATTTATAGGGGTGCATTCTGTCATTCTAGGATACATGGTGCACCATCTTGAGTGTAACTGATTGAGCAGGCTTTTATCTGGACATTTTCAAATTATTTTTTGTTTGTGTGTGTGTGAGGTTGCATGAGTTTATGTCTATGGAGGTCAGAGTGTGTCAGACTTGGAGCTGGAGTTACAGGTGGTTATTAGCTACCTGATGTGGGTGCTGTGGACTGAACCCAGGTCCTCTACAAGAGCAGTAAAATACTCTTAACCAGTGGACCATTTCTCCAACCCATGACTTTCTTCATACATATGATTTAGCACACCGTAAGTATCTGTGGGACAAATGCCTAGAAGGGCCATTGCCTCAAAGAGCTGCTTCTGCTTCTTCTTTGACAAGATCCTTCTATAATAGCCCAAGTTGTCCTCAGACTTACCATAGCCCAAGCTGGCCTTGAACTCACCACCCTCCTTTCTCAGCCTCCTGAATGCCAAGCCTTCCTAAACCCCAACAAGTATGCTACTCCTGTTTGAGCAGATAATGCCAACAATCACCCTCCTGCCTGTGGCAGATAAGCAGGTGGGTGTTAATGTGGGTTCCTGGGACTTAGCTTTCTTCAAGCCTG